GGGATGGGCGGGCAGGGGAGGCTGGAACAGCGGGACTGGGCCGGGCACCGGCCCGGAGGGAGGATCTGGGTTAGACCGGGCCGGGGCAGGGGGGTCCCGTGCCTCCCCGTCTGACCCCTCCACCCGCAGCTTCACGGACCCGAGCGTGTCTATGGACCTGCTGCGCGCTGTGCTGCAGCCCAGCATCAACGAGGAGATCCGGGGCGTCTTCAACAAGTACATGAAGGTGAGTGCAGGGCACAGGTGGGCAGCAGGTGTGTGGGGGCACCTGGGCTGTCACCGAGGCCATCACGCCAGTCTGTGGGAGCTGGGCCCTGCGCCTGCCTCGACACTGCACAGGCTCTCAGCCTCTCCTGCCTTCTCCTCTCCAGTTTTTCCAGACAGCAGCAATCAACGTGCGTGATAATGTTGGGGAGGAGGTGGACCCGGAGCAGCTCATCCAGGAGACCTGTCGGAGCTGCCTGGAGCAGGTGGGTGCTGGCGAGGGGTTCCTTGGGCACCTGATTCAGCAGAGCAGCCTGGTCAGGATGTGTCCCTCTTAACAGCTTTGCTGTCACTGTGAGGGGACATCCTCAGCCCTTGCGTGGCTGCTGTGCTGGGATTCATTCTCACTGGGAAGAGGGGAGTGGTCAGAGCTGGGCAGCTCATGCTGCCACTTTTCACTGCTGCTGTCAGAACATGGCACACGGCTGGACCACCCATCAGAGGGTCCTGGTGGTGTGGGGCAGGATGCTTTCCTTTCACATCTTGCTTTTCTGCCAGTTGACCATAGTTATGATGCTCAGATTGTGCTTTTGCATCTGGCCATCTGTGGAAGCATGGCCTGATAGCACTCCAAGAGCAGAGCTGGTGCAGGGCTTTCAGGCAGATACACGGAGATGGAGGTTGCTGGTGGGGCCCTCTCTGAGCCCAGAATCCCTGGAAACTTCTTTCTCTTCTTGCAGGCCAAACTGCTGTTCTCTGACGGCAAAAAGGTGGTTCCCAGGTTGCCCCATGAGCAGGCAGGGACAAAGGTAAACTTTGTGATTGTACCCAGAGGCTTAAATGATTTGTGAGAGCTGGGAGGAGGAGAACAGTTGGAATCCCTTTTGTTCTCTACCTCTTGTCCCCCAGCACTGTAGTGCAGAGGCAGAGTAGGGGTTGTTGGGCTGGGAGGGAATACAGGGCAAGGAGAACCTCAGGTGCTGCTGCTTATGGTGTGGTGCTGCTCACCAGCATGGGCTGTGATCAGTGTTTAACTGCAAAGGAGAGAGGGTCAGCATTTACCTGGCCTTTGGGATGCAGGGGGCTCCACACAACCAGGAGGGGAGAAGGGCCCTGCTCATCCCGCTGCCCTTCCTCTTCCAGCGTGCCCGACAGATGGATGAGGAGCTGAGCCGTCGAGGGAGCCCCATTCCCAAAAAGGTAAGAGGGGATTTTGTTTTGGCAAGCCTGGTCCTCCTTCCTGGCCATTCCCACCATATGAGTGCGTGCAGGTGCACCGTCGGCTTTTGTGAGGCCTGAGAGGTGCTTGCTCTGGTGCCAGGGAGCATTTCTGCCCGTGACAAAAGGAGCAGCTTCTCTGGGATGGGGAGGGTCCCCAAGAGGGTTCCCTGAGCCAGCACAGCCAAGTCACAGAAGGGTTTCTTCCATGCAGAGAAAGGGGCGGCCTCCAGGACAGAGCCTGTCGAACGACCGCGGGGTCTCGGGCATGGCAGCGTGAGTACGGGTCCTGAGCTAGAGCCCCCGTTTGGGGAGGGCAGGGGGAACGAGGCTGCCCAAATGGGGGAGGCACAGAAACCCCACAATCCCCTTCCCTCCTGCAGAGAGGCAGTGGGAGTTCTGGAGACAGGGAGGGGTCTTAGGTTGAGGTGTGTCCCTCCAGAAGGCAAAGACCTTCAAGGAAAAGGTTTTAAAGAGGCCCAAAAGGGTGAAAAGATCCAGATGGACCATTCAGAGTGAGCAGTGAGGCACAGGAGGGGTGGGATCTGGGCAGCTGAGAGAGGAGAATGTGCATCAAAGCTGAGGGTCCAGAGCTGGGCGCTCCGGGGGAATGCAAGATGTGAACAAGGGTGGATCTGGAAAGGCTGGGGCTCAATCCCTGCTGCTGGTGGTGACTGTGCTGGTTCTGCAGGGCCTCATTCTTACAGCATTTTCCTTCCCCTCAGGTGGAAGCTCAAAGTCTCTGAACCTGTGAGAAGGGATGGACCAAAGGTATTGGCTGGCCAAGGCTGCTGGGCTCCCCCTCTCCTCCCCTTTGCTCCTGCCTGCGGCTGCAGGAGCACAGGACAACGCAGGCTGTGCTCTGCCCCGATGGGGCCCTGGGGCGGGGGGGCAGGACGAGGAGCGAAGTGCCCGGAGGCCTTTTTTGGTCTCCCCAGGCACTGTAGCCTGTAGCTGTGCAGTGTGGTGCTGCTGAGGGAGACCTGGGGAGAGTAGGAGTAGCCAGGAAAATCCCACAAGCGTTTCCCACAAGGGAAACTGCTTAGATCAGCCCAGACAGAATGTAACATCCCTCCCCTGCAGAAGGCTGGAGGTCTGTGGCCAGCTCCTTCCCTCCCAGGCCGGGGGCAGCTCCGAGGTTCCCTGTCAGAGAGCCGAGGCTCATGGAGCGTGGCCGGCACCAGCTTAATTTCTAATGCTGCCCCTTTTCCAATTGCTCTGTAGTGGGATCCATCCCGACTGACTGAAACCACAACCTTTGTGCTGGGATCTCGAGCAAACAAGTAAGGAACGGCCCTGTCGATGGAGGGTGGTGTCCCCAGGCAGGAGCCCGTGACACTCCTCCCGTCACTTCGCTTCTCTGCCTCCAAAGCAGTAGGAAGGGCTTGGGGAGGAGAGGGGTGTCCCCGTGCCACCACAGCCACCCTCCCTGCAGCCCTGACACCCCTCACGTTCCTCTTGCAGAGCTCTCGGGATGGGAGGAACAAGAGGGCGACTCTACATCAAGCACCCCCACCTCTTTAAGGTCAGATGCCACAGCCAGACGGTTTCCCATGGGAATCGGGGGCGCATGCTTTGGCTCGTTTGTTCACTCCCTCCCCCTTGCCCTCGTTTGTTATCTCGGATCACATTCCCAAGGTCTTGGCTAGCACACGGAACATGAGCCGACATGGCAGGTTTTGCTGGAGCCAGGGCTGAGGCTGGAGCAGGGCAGGCGGTGCAGAGTCGAGCGCTCCCCCCACGGGCAGCACATGGGGGGCACAGCGTCCTGCAGGAGGGGGGGCCTGAGCCGAGGGTCTGTCACCCCTGCTCAGCTCGGTCCTCGCTGCTTTATTGCAGTACGCGGCCGACCCGCAGGATAAGCACTGGCTGGCAGAGCAGCAGCACATGAGGGCCACTGGGGGCAAGATGGTGAGTACGGCCGGGCACAGGGCCCGCCGCAGGGCCAGCACGGGCGGAGGAGCCGCAGCACAGGCAGCTGTGGCAGGAGGTTAGGCAGGGCACGGAGGCACAGCTGCCCCCAGGGTCTGTCCCCTGCCCTCTGGGGTTTGGGTGCAGGCTTGAGGGGCAGAGCTGGATCCCACAGGGACAGTGCTGGCCAGGGATGGGGGGAGTGATCCTGCCTCAGCCGCCCCTCACAGGCGCCCTGAGGTGTCCCCCACCTTGTGCCACAGGCCTACCTCCTCATCGAAGAGGACATTCGGGATTTGGCTGCCAGTGAGGATTACAGGTGAGGACCAAAGCAGAGATGCTGCTGTGCCTGGGGCTCCTTCCCTGGGGGCCCCCACCGTGCCCCCCCTTCACTGCATGGGAGCCCTGTGCTGGAGGAATCCTGTTCCATGCCAGCTGGGGGGGCTTGGTGCCAAGTGTTGGGGGGCTTGGTGCTGGCTGGGTGTTCATGGTAGGTTTGGGCACGGTGCTAGTTGTGGTCCATAGCAGGTTTGGTGGGTCTGGGCTTGGTACTGGTTGGGGTCCATGGTGGGTTTGGGGTCCTCGGTGGGTGCCGGGGTCCCTCTGTCTCAGCCCTTTCCCTCCCAAGGGACTCGGTGGATCTGCGGCTGGAGGAGCTGAAACCCTTCATCCCGCCGGCCTGGATGACGGAGAAGATGCAGAAACACATGGAGACGCTTCGTCGCGGAGGGGAC